GTGTGCCATTTTCATGCGGATATCTGACATTACAGCTTCTCAAGGGGAGTGTGTCAGGATGTCCCCGACGTGCTTGGGGACCAGAAAGCAAGCATCCGGTCGGTCAGTGTGCGGTTGGGCCCAGCGCGGGCCTTGCGGATTGTGCTGACCTCGGCGAGTTCAGAATTAACTCAGCGGGAGTTGGCACAGCTGCGAGTGAGCAGATGTGCAGGCTGTATTCCTCCTGAAGTCTTTGCTGCTGAGCACTTCGGTAAGCTTCAGTGTGGCGAGCATCTTGGCCGTTGCGACTGGGGTTCCTGGCACAGCCGTGGCCAGAGGCGTGGCGGTGCAAAGTGGACGGAAGTGCTGTGTCGTGACAAGTTCGGGTCGATTGTTTGGCAGCCCAGATGCTTGATCTCGGCAGGTGTGTTGGCCGTAGTTTCCCTGCTCTTTTGCAGATCCCTTCGAAGAAAGGATCCGACGGGGAAGCATCGATACCTAGCTCGGAGCTTCCAGAAGCAGGTGCTGTGGGTCGTGTGAATATCTTTTGCCCCTGGGAGGAGAAGCTCGTCGATGCTGAGAAGCCGAAGCAAGTCTTCGAGTTCTACATGTTCGTGTGGAAGATCTTCTATTTGTGCTACTTGTTGCTTCCACTGGCTGCGTGAGCTGTGTGACTTTGTGCGCTACAGAGTCGCTTGCGTGTGGGTGGGGCACCTCTCCGTTTTCCATCTGGCTTTGCCACCGGGGTGCCCATGTCGTTCCGGCCGTAGCCTCCTAGGTTACTATCACGAATCTTCGCTCCGCGATACCCAGAATACAGAAGTGTGTCAGCAGATGCATCATGCCTTCGCCATCGCCCAACCACCGCCAATCCCGATTTGTGACTGTGTGTTGTCTGACTGCCGAACGTTTCTGGCTGCTAGAAGCGCCAGACACTAGCTCCGGAAGCTTCTAAGGGTTGTTTTTCTGTTGTGTTCTCATCAACAGCTTCATTCTTGCTGTGTTCGATTCTTGCTGAGACGAGGCATCTCACATGTCTACACTAGAGCTTGGTTCCAGCTTCTGCCGGCAGTCCTTTTCGCGTGCCATGCATGCGGTTCCGACTGCCGGTGGCAACGGTATGTGCAACAACGGCCGTTGTAGCGGCTGTAGACCAAATGGCCGAAAAGCACGCAGTTTGCACTGGGAAGTGCCACCCGGGCTTGCGCGGCGCTACTAGATTGCAGCTGGTAGCTTGAAGGTCCGTTCCGGCAGCATAGGTCAGCCGAGGGAAGAACGGCAGTATTACGCTGTGCAGGCCAGTCGTGGCACTCACCTGTGGTGCCCACTTCGTTGTTTGCTCCGCCGAGGTAGCGCCAGCAGCTAAGAAGCGAAGACGTTTCCAACTCCCCCGTGCCTCGCAACGTTTCTGAGGCTACCTCGGCCGGACCCAGAGAACCCAAATGTGTCGCAGGAGGCGATGGCTTAGGAGCGGAGCGACGAGGGAAGCGGCGAAGCGACGCTTTGGAGGATCTCTTGCTGGGCTTCTGTGATGCCAACTCACCAGGCTAGGACCTGACATGATTCTGATGTGGTGTGACGTGTATGTCTCTCGCACTCCACATCGCTTTCGCTTGCTCGATCTCTTGAAGCTCTCAGTTCACATGCGAGGTGTTGGCAGTTCAGTGACATCCTGGAGGCATCCGGACCAGAACATTGTCCACCCGAATAAGACGTGTGACAACCGTGACATACCGTGACCAGGCCGGCCCACCTTCCGCCAAAGGCGGAGGAGGAGTCCGAGCACCATCGTAGCCTCGCTGTCGCCCCAGCTCTCATCATTTTCTCCGAGCGCTGCTCTTACTGCTCTTGCATCACATTATTCCGCGCAGGTTCGTGCCTTGGAGCGCAACGTGCAGCTCTCAGAAAATTGCATCCCAGCTCGCGTAGAGCACGGGCTGGGCAAGCCGAAGAGCTCATGTCTGCTCCCTGTGGTCGGAATCGCCAGGTGCAGAGGCGGCTTCTTCAAGAGCAGCGTGAGGAGCGCCGCGCGTGCGTGGCAGGTCCAGTCTCTGTGTCTGTGGCGAGGAGCAGCAGAGACGACAACGAGAAGAACGTCGAGAGCGCCGTCTGCAGGCTCCACATGTAAGCCGGATTTGACAGTGGCCAGCTCAAGACAGCAAGCGGATCCATCAGATCCAGCCAGGGCACTCATGTGGTTGTGTGTTCCCGTTGCATTAACAAGGTTGGCCGGAGCTTGTCTCAGGAGCACACCGACGTTTGGCTTCACGAGCTTCTTCCCAGCTTTGTTCCAGGCCCCTTTAGCTGCAGAGTTGGAGGATTCCTGGAGCCAACAGCAGAGGCATGGAGCCGACGCAGCGCATGCAACGCCTGTGGCGCCAGGGCTTGCCCCCACGCGTCCGCGAGGCCAGCCGTGCAGGTGTGTGGGCCATTTCAGGGTGGTTTGGTTTTGGCGGCGGCGCGTGCAAGCTTCGACACGTGCAGATGCTAGATTTCCATGCTCTGAAGCTTTTTGATCGGGACAGGTTGTGTGGCCAGTGGCAATTGGAAATGCAGCTTCCCTAGTCGAGTCAATGCACTTTAGCACACGTCATGCGTAGTCGTCGAGTAAAACTTGACGAGTCCAACTGCGGTCTCGACGAGGTGCTGCGAATAACCCCGGAGCTTTTCGAGATCCACAAGCAGCGTGCAGTGGACGCTCGAAGAGCCCAGGCCGCCGTCATCGCTTTGATCAATTTGGCGCATCTTGGGGCGGCTGTGAGGGCTGTGCTGTGGGGATTTTTGGGGTGTGCAGGTGACGGCCTCAAACGTGCTTATCACTCTGACTGATGCGCGTTGACCTCAGCACCTGAGGCCCGCCGTGGCAGGTCACACGATCGGACCTTGCACCCTGGCAATTGCAAGTCCGGCTGTCCCAGGCCACCACATCGTGGCCGAGAGCAAAGCACAACCTGCATTCCCTTTGCTCTGCCCTCAGTTTGCCCTCCTTTAATCCCGCTTTCGAGCCGGCGCTTGGAGGATCTGCCACGAACTTTTCCAACTTTGGCCTTCTTCAGCGAGGCCAGCGGCAAGAGTTTTGCCGGCTTGTATCTGGCTTTCGGCAGCATCTGCAAGCAAGGGCAAGCAGTTCTGCTTTGTCAGGGCGGTCCTCTTCATGAAGACTGCGCACGGATTCTGGAGGTAGTGAGGGTTTTGTCCCTGCTATGCCCCGCTACAATCGTCATAGCCTGCAGACCATGCAGGCATACACTTTCTTCCGGCCAGATATCGGCTATGTGCAGGGCATGCATGCGCCTAAGGTGGCTGAAGTGTGACAGATGCATACAGACACGAGGAGATGGGCTTGGCCGTTTTGTCGAGCAGTGGTTTGAGGAGCTATTTGGCGGCCATGCTGCTTCTCTACTTGCCGCCGTACGAGTCCTTTGTGTCCTTGCAGCATAGAAGGGCTTCCCCGCATCGAGCGATTCCCGTACTTCCGCCCCATGTGGCAAGGTTGGCTTGTGCAACTTGCTGAACACGCCCTCCGTGACCTGGAAGTAATACGCCGCTAGCCGTTCCGACTGATTCCAGCTGGCACTTCCAAGACCAAGCCATTCCATCACGGCGCTGAAGATTGCACGCGAGATGTTTTAATGCCGAGAGCTTGAGCCCTGTTTTTTGAGGTACTCGGACTGTATCGCCTTGAGCCCCGTGCAGTTGCTTGTCGGGACTGGACCCCAGGAAGTAGCCGGGTGTCTTCTGCTTTTGGCGGAAATGAGCTTCAGGCACGCGTGTTCGAGCAGCCGGGATCTTGGGCAACCAGCTAGATAGAAAAGTTACGACAGCCTGCCAAGCATCTGCACCGAGCTCGCAGGTCGTCGAGTTGATTGGGAGATATTGACAGCTTAGCAGAGCAGGGTCGTGTCAGGTTGTGTTCGCAGCAGCTGCCCGATGTGTGCAGATGCAGCATCCTCGGCCATTACAGGCCATGTCTCGAGTTCCCTGAAGCCAGCGAGACTTCAGTAGTGAAAGATCCTGTTCGAGACTTGCAGCGATGCAGTGTTTCAGTGTTTCTGTGGCTGTCATTACTTCCGGGCGATCCTGAGGCATTCGAGAAGTCGGACTCATGCCAGAGATGTGCTATTCTCAGTAGTGGTTTCCGGGATGCGAAATGCCGAGTCTCGCTTGGTTGAAAATCTTTATCTCATGCATCTGAGAATTTCAGTTAAGTTGGGCTTGCAGGATGCGGGTCAGGCATGGTCAGGCTGGTAAGACACTCTCGTTTTTTGCACAGCGAGTACTTCCTGATGCTCCAAAGGCTTTGTCAGCTCTTAGAATGCCCAGCCTGCCCAGTGGCCTAGCTTGTTATGTGTGTTGGCGGGATCACGCGTGGCACTTACCTTTGAGAATCATCGGATTCTGTTGAACTGTCACCGAGGCGATCTGAATATAGACCTAAGCGTTACTGGGGGTTTGAATCGTTTGATGCTGGCTTTCTAGAGTGGAGAGGAAAAATCCCCGGCTGTTGGCCCCCGAAATTTCTGCATGGGAAGGTTCCTCATCGACTGGTTCTTGACCGTGTTTGCAAAGTGGTAGCCTTAGCACGGAGTGTCCGAGAGGCTTCAGCTTCCTGCGTTCCTCCGAGCGATATGAAAGTCCTCGCTGGCGGCTGCACCCAGTCGTTCAGCAGGTGCTTGACTGTCGATGTCGCTTCGGTGGTGTGGGACCTCTTCCTGCTGGATGGCGAGGCAGACACTCTTGCTAGACACCCGACCACATGCAAGGCATGGCTGCTTGCGAGGTTGTCCTGTACTGCACGGCCATCGCCATACTGCGCATTCTGGAGCCTGACATGCACGAAAGTTTGAATAGTGCTTGCGCTGTTCGCCTGCTCGGCTCCTCATTGCAGCGTCCTACCTGGAAGGAGTTCCAGCTGCTGCATCCGGACGGCCGTCGGGGCTTGAATGCGGCCAGGATCTGACACCGGGTCCCCACAGAAGATTCGACCATGCAGACTAGTCCAGGTGTGCAAGTAGGCCTTTGGCCATCGGAGCCCCGACGATGACTGGTGCTCCGATAAAGGATTGTCTTGGTGTGCCAGTGCATTGAAGCCATGTGATGAAGCAGAGGTTGCAGGCCAGAGCTGCTGCAGGGTAAGGCCACAGCCGACAAGACTTGCTTGACCTGCTAATGTTGGCAACCGACGAGAAGCACGAGTATTGAATGCATCGGGTCGTGTTGCCTGAGGGCGGGCAATCTCCATAATGTAGACCTGCCGTGGTGCGGTCCGGTCGGATGCTGCAGTGCCGAAGACGACCCGTCTGCTCCGAAGAGTTCGAGCCCAGGCAGAACCTGATCTCGAAAGCTGCACGCGGGTCCTGAACGAGGCCGGCGCGACGGGCGGGAAGCACGCGCCTCAGAGCCGAAGAGTCTCCGGCCCAGGAGCTGCGGAAGCGTGTGAGCGACCCCGATGAGCTCCTGTGGCACATCGCACAGGCTCGCCTCGCCTCTTTGCACTCCCGAACCGAAAGCTTAACAGTCGCAATCTCAGGTGAGACGAAGGGCTCCCCAGCGCATCTTTGCTCCAAGCTCAGTGTGAGCAAGCTTGCACTGCCTCATTCCTGCAGTGCTTTTGGGCGGCTTCGTGGAGCAAGCTGCGCATTGCAAAGGGCGAGATTCGAGCCATCGAGAACATGGAGTTCGGCAGCCAGGGAAGAGTGTCGACACGAGGCTGGCCTCACGAAAGTCTCATGCTAGCCAGTTTTTTGATGTGCTGCAATGGGGCAGGCTCCATTGCTAGTGCATTGACGGGCGCATCGTTCCTCACAGCAGCGGCTTGGCTCCAGATAAGTTTCTGTGGAAGCATCTCAATGCATGTTTGTTCGTTCCTGTGCAGGCCAAAGAGCGCATTCTCTCCCGTTTGCTGCCTTGAGGATAAATGACCTTTGCTCTCCTTACAGGGGTAGGCAACAAACCAGTGGGAGTCGCTTTGGTCTTTTGCCACGCTGTTGGCAGATTCAGAATTGAGGACGAAACACAAGTATTTGCTAGCCGCAGTCAATAGTTTCCGGGGTTTCATAGGTTAGGGTGTTCGCCGCCCGCTCACCTCACAATCACAAGGCAAAGGTAACGCATTTCAGGCGTTCCTCAGTCGCCGTTTTGATATGTCATGGCTAGGAGGATCCTAATGATGAAAAGAACGTGAGTCTTCGGGTTTGTGGGTGGTGGCACTTGCCAGCCCTTTTGAGTAGTTTGGTTCAGGCTCTTGTGGAATCGTTTCGCATCCCCAAGAAAAGAAACGCACTTGTAACCCAAGCAATGAACACCTAGAGAACGCACAGGGTACATCCCATGTCCATGCCGATGTTGCCAACTTGATGTTGTTCATTCAATCTTTTACCGAATCGAGGGCAGCAAGCTTTTGATGCCTATGGCATGCATCCAATCGATTCGTGTAATGCCGTGCGGCTCCAGCTGTCAGAGGGTGCTGCAGTTTGGTGCAATTTTGGCAACGGACAGCCGCCCACCGCAGCACCCAAGGTTCGACTGTCCAAAGTATCATGTGCGAAGTGAGGCTAACACCAAGCATGTCAGGTCATGGACAAGTCCAGGTTCGTTGAACTGCTGAAGGTGCAACTGCAATGTGCACTGAATGGATTCCAAGCACATGCCTTTTGAGTCGGACTTTCAAGACTTGCGATCCCAGGGGCTGCAGACTTCAGAAAATGCCGTGCGACAGCAAGCAGAGACAATGTGCCCTTGATTGCTATTGGCCTGCAGATCACGGCTTGTTAAACAAAGCCTTCGATCACTTGTGCAAACCTGGCTGTCGCAGGTACCAGACTGCAAAGCAAGCAGAGCCCGACAACCTCATAATAGGAATGATGTGTGCCCCCCGGAGCAGACGTTACGCGCCAACGTCCAAAGTCGTGTCGTCAGCAACTGTACCAGCTGAGGGCCGTCTTGGGAAGCGCAGACGTGCCCGAGGGCGTTCGGAGGTCAGTTCTGAAGCATGATGAAGCTTTGCATTGGCAATTAAGTTCTCAGCCGATTAAATGGTGTTGTAAGTTTACTACTCGTAGGAGGTGTCTTTTCGCACTTTGCAGGCACGACTGCGTCCTCTTGCGCCAGCTGGTAACCAGGGGGGCTGAGAAGGATTTCGTCTATGCCAGGACTGGTGAATGCAATGATCGAGCCAAGCTGGCAAGCGAGTAAGAACCTAGCTCTCGAGCAGCAATCTGCCTTGACAAGGATAACCGATGCACACAAGCAGGAGGTGACCATGCCGTGAGTCAAGCTGACGGGGCAAAGTTGACAATCAAAACATGATCAGGTTGCAGCGGAGCTCTTGCGGCAGTACGAGCAGGAGGCAATTCTGTTGCGTTGAAATTTCGCTTCAGCTTAATCTGAAGTACTTTGAGGCAAACATGCACGGATATGCACGGTGTTGTGGCCCGCTGCTTCTGATGGTCGATAGGGTTTAGGGTGTGAACCTGCAGAGCCTGGACAGTGTGGTTGTAGTCGTTGCTGTGAACGGAGATTTCCGTGCCAGAAATTGCCAGCGATACAGAAGAAGATTGGCGAGGCCCCCCACTCAGAAATGGTAAGGTCATGGCGTCCAGAGCTCTCTGAAGATCAGATGCTGCCCAGGTGGTGCAGAGCAATGTTGGGTCATAGTTGGATCGGAGTTGCACGCATAGGTGATCTCCAAATTGGCAGACTACGTTTGCGACACGGACTTTGCTTTTGCGAGCACGGTCTTTGGCTTCCCTGCTCTCTGCCCTCTGGGCATTCTGCCACCCTTGGTTGAAAAAGTGGTTTTTGCAGGATGATCCCAGAGCGAGCCTGGGAGCACCGTCCGGCTGGCCCGGACCCCAGACGCGGCAAGTGCTGCTTGTGCCTGCAATGACTATCATCGTCAAGATGACAGTGCTGGCATGATGACGGTAATGATGATGATGACATCATCATCATCATCGTCATCATGAACATCACCGTTCACCATGCTTCTTAACATTGAGATATCATCTTCGTCGTCATCGTTGTCATCGTCATTTGCATCATCTGAGTGATCATATGTCTGCAGCCAGCTCCTGCACTACTCTACTGCCAGCCGAGGCCGGCCTTGCTACCACAGGTCTTCCGAATGGCTCCTCCGACGCACAGGGGCGGGGGGGGTTGGTACCGGGGTCGTCCGGGGCCTGTGGGGTCTTCCGGCAAAAGCTGAGGCTGATACGAGCACAGCCACTTCAGTCGAGAGCTGTGAGTCAGCTCTTCGGCTCCTGAAGGCAGGGCAGATGTTGCGCAGAGCACGCCGTGCTGGTGTCGGACCTGCGTACAGGACTGCGTGCCGACGCTGAAGGATCAGATTGTTGCAGCCAAGCAGCAGCCGGGACCCCTGGCATGCACAACTCAGCTGTGATAACCAGCAAAGATCTGTCTTTCCGGCTCCCATGGCCCCAGCTCACACCGATTCCAAGCCGCTTTTTTGCCGATCATCGCCAGTCAGGCTGCCACTTCCGTGGATTGTTCTTACACTCTCCGGAATAGCACCTGCTGTATCGAGCTTCGCTGGGACCATCGCTTTGCCGAGGTTGGGCCAAATCATTCAGAACGGCTTAGCATCGCCGCAGGCTGCTTGTGACTGAGCCGGTGAGTTGCGACTCTCGAAGAACTGACCAGGTCAAACACAAAGTAGCAACCTTCCTCCTGGTCTGTGAGATTGTGACTGAGACGGAAAAGAAAGGCCTGATTGGCTGCTTTGGCACCGGAAGATTTTCAAACTCCCAACGATGGCCAGCTTGGGCGCCTCTACTTTCCACCGTCAGCGTCCTCGTGCAGGCCAAGCTTCTCACAAGATAGCACCACATTGATTGGCAACTACTGCCTTTTCGCGGCACAGTCTGGCCCATGCTGCAGAGCTCTGTCGATGCATGTCGCTCTCCAACTGGAATAAAGTTGCAGTCACTGAGCTATAGTTGATCCCGCTCGTCTCGGCTCGGTTGCTTGAGTTTTTTTGGGAGAGCTTCTGGTCTCCCCAATGTCTGCCCGTGCGGTGGGCCGGAGTGCTCGTGCACTGTGGCTCAGGCACGAGCCTCTTGCACGGTCCGTCTGCCTTTCGCTTATCTTGATGCTGGAGTCCCTGGCAGGAATGACCTCCGCCTCGACGACAACCTTGCACTGAAGGCCAGCCATTCCAATCCTTCTGAGCGAGAGAGTCGTTTTCGTCGTGCATCAACCAAGCATAATGGGTCAAGACACTGACATGACGTGTTGGGCTCTGCAACAGCCGAAGCAATGCTTGGAACGCTTGAATGAGCTTTGGGCAGTCAGCCGGTGAGGCGGCAGCGGAAGGTGCCGAGTCGCTGCTGCCTGTCTTCGTGTTCGACCCGTCTCGCTTCAACGTGCCGACGCTGGCAGGCAAGCTGTCACCATGCCGTAGGTGATGATGAACCGCAGCGGCAGTCGGAGTCGGAGGTGCAAGGAAGTGCAACGCGCGGCGGGCGCGCTTCTTGCTGGAAAGCGTGGACTCTCTGCGCCGGCGCCTGGAGAGCATCGGCTCGGGTCTGGCCGTGGCACTCGGGCCTCCGCAAGAGGCAGCAACCGCCTTGAACCAAGGGGCCTTGCAAGGGGCAGGGGCAACATTTTGTGTCGTGTCAGGTGATTCCGAAGCTCTGCGACGGCTGCAGCGCCGTGGCCGTCGCACAGGCCGCGGTGCGGTAGGATGGTCGGTTATTGTGATTTGACGGCCTTGCCCTGGCCAGGGCTATTGCAGTGAAGAGCAGCGAGAAGAAGCCCTGGTGGCCAAGCGGCTCCGCACAATGGGTGCGGAGCTGACTACTGTATGGGGAGGCACGCTCTACATGCCGGAGGACACCGAATTTAATGATTCAAATTTCGGGCTGCCTGCTTGGCATTTCTGGCTTGCTCACCTCGAAAGCTTGAGAGACTTGAGAGGGAGCGCAGGGCACCAACGATGAGCCAACCGAGGAAAGCCCAAGAAGTGTGAGAAGTAGAATCGGAACTCGAAATAGCTCTTTGAGCAACAGCAGGAAGCAATGATCTGGAAGATCAGGCGAGTAGCAAGCGTATGGCAAACCGTTAAAGCAGTTGAGTACAGCAGGACGAGCAGGGCATCCTATCTCACGTGCAGTCTATTCGTGCTTGTACGCGTTTCCCAAAATCTGGGGCGGAGATGAATTCCGCCCGACTCTTCTAGAAGGGTGAAGTCAAACTGCAGACCCACATCAACCTACAAGAAACGACCAAGACACTTGCAAGCCGCCTAACAAAGCATGCACAGATATGCATAGATAACTCCAACTGCTCAGCCACGAGCGACACAACTGAGAAAGGACAGACAGACAGTGACCCCCTGTTGCGACAAGACCTCTGAGATCTGCTGGCTTCAGATGGTGGTGATGGCTATGATCATCATCGGTCAGCGTCGTCTTATGAGAACTTATGAGTTTTAGTCTTAGTAATTTTAGTCGTCGTGCAACTACTGCAGTAATCCAATCAGGAGTGCGGACAGAACCCTCGCAACACGCCGCTGCTTTTCACGTCTTTCAAGAACAAGGCAGGTTGGGTTCACGGTTCGGACGATCCTGTTCACGAGCTGACAATGTGACGCACGGAACAGGGGCTCGTACGGAGACCATTGTCATGTCATGCCAGTATCAGTACCAGCGACTTCTGTCATTCACATGCAGCAGGGTTAATTAAAACATATTACAACGGCGAGGAGACTCATCGTATGATTATTGTTCGTGATATGTGCCTATTCTTGTTACATCATGAATCTGCAATACTTCTCAAAGGAACCTGAATACCGAGGTTCGGAAGAAGAGTCGCAGTAGCAATCGAACAGCCCAAGTCAATGCGAATTGCAAGGCCAGCAGTACTAGCACCATGCGACATGAGCGATGGGCAACACAGTGCAAATACTTCAGTACTATGGCTAGTGTTAGTAGATTGTCGGTTTCTGAAGTCTCACCACAAGCAAAGTGACGAGCGTTGAATCAGGGAATTTATGTTTTACGTGGCCTGCGCGTGGGAGCGGTGCACAGTATTGCACAGTAGTGAAACATAACATGACCAAACAAAAAACCATGGCAGGGCAGGAAACAAGAGTCAATCACAGATGTAGTGTTGCTGTGGCTGCTGTGGTCATTTAATCGGTGTCAGACTAGAACTGGAGTCACAGCTACTCGCCGAGTAATTTGTACTGTTATTAGTAATAGCACTGCACTCCAACCCAAATTCATGATCTGAAGAAGTGTCGAACGGTGCGTCGAGCCATACCCGTCCACACGCCGCGAGGCGTATGACTGACTGACTGCCTGCCTGATTGACTGACTGTCTGACTGAGTGACTGACTGACCGAAGAATACTATCAGAAAAGTCATTCTAGGGCTTTGTGGTTTCCAGATACCCTGACTCCAACCGCAGATCGCTTGAGTCTCGTGAGGTATTCTGATCGCATTGATCATATTTGTGCAAGCAAGTGGTTATTGAACCGACAACCTTGGCTGCGTTCAAGACAACAAACACGATGCTGCCATCAACTTCACTTGCATTGTTGCGATAAGTCTGACCCCGGAAGCGGCATGAATCGTACTGTGACGCTCGCTATCAGTAGAAATCCAAGATAACTCTCAGAAGCATCGGTTTTCGCAATTCCCTGTATGTATACCAAGGCTCCAGAGCCTCACCAGCTAGCACCCTGACACCCTAACAGCAGATCTGAGGCCGAAGGCCGCGGCCAGATCCGGAGCCCGGTGCCTACGCCGAAGCAGCTGCCTTCCCTCCCAAAGAAGCAGGGCGAGCTCGAGACCGCCTTAGGCGCACGCGCGGCCTTGAAAGCGATCATTCCTGCCTATGTGTAGTAGTCTCGTCAACGCCGTCCCTGCTTCTTGCTATCTATACCTCTTCTGTGCGTGTATCCCCCATTCCGTATGTGTATATATATATATATGGAACACGGAAGAAGTATAGATTGAAGCTTCTCGGAGAAGTCTTGACAGAAACCTTCAACTTGCAGAGACACGGAATAGGAATTTGAAGCTGTTTCATGCTATGCATTCGCAAATTGAACCTCATGCTATGCATTCGCAAATTGAACCGGCTTGAACCGGATTGAGTTTCACGAGTAGTGGCGATCGGCTTGAAAATGAAGCCGCTTGAAGCCGTTGATCCCTGCATTGAAGATTCCGCATGCGTCCCCGGAAATTTTTAATCTTCAATCTTCGGTGGGTCAAATTTGCATGTCGTCTCATCCATTTCAATCCCGCCCCGAAAGGTGGAAACTCACGCGAAAGCTAGGAGTTCAATTCATTTCAAGCCGTCGACCACCGCACACTCCATGCTTTCCTGATTGAGCGTTAGCGCACATCAAGAAACTGGAGTAGCCCCGGTCCTTGCTTGGATTATCACGAAAGCTATCGCCGCGGAGCTTGCGGGAGTTGTCGTTTACCAATCCACCTAAGTAGTAGTGACCCAGGTCAAAAACGTGTCTAGGAGCTTATTTGGTCATGCAGCAGCAATTACAGTTACAAACCTCCCTGTCACCACGCAAGTGATTGATTCACAGGCTCTAAGGTGATCCCCTCCTCCCCACCACAAGGTGGCTGTGGCCTTCTACTAGGTGGGGGAGGAGGGTCTCCACCGCAAGACCTCTACGAATCGAAAATCTAAAGCTCCACAGTCTTTATAATCCTTCAGCTCTACCGAATTCCTGATTACAGGTGATCTTTTTACAAGCCATATGAGCAGACTGTTTGTATGACCTGTGCGACTCCGAAGTATGCGGGGCAAATCCATAGGTCTTGTCTATCTGTTAGAAACCTGTAAGGTAATCTGAATGAAAATCTCTCCTCACACAAATTCGCGCTCATCAGAAACTCGCCATGTGCACAACCACATTGGTAGGCTGAGAAATGTAAAGTACGAAAGCTGAGGCTGATACGGGGATCGAATAGTTTGCCGTATGTGGATCGGCTTTTGCAATCTTAACACCAGTCCTAACAGCCCTGACACTGTCGCGATCTGATCTTGCAGTATATTCACTGGTCAGGTTTACTTGGTGAAACTTGCTGCCTGTATGAGCTACATGCATAAGACGTCGATAGCTACATGCATAAAACGTCGATGCAAAAGTTGAGTGCGCCCCTTGTGCATATTAAGGATGGTGTCATAAACATGTGTATATTATGCAGTAGTCTGCGATATCCGGCTGGCGTTGCAATGGGTTAGGGTTCGCGAAAAGGTTCAGTATGTGATTTCCACCGGACAAGCATGGATAATGGGCGTATGTTTTGCTTTCACAGTTTCTAGTCCTGCGGTTATTGCTATGTTGCTATTGCCACTACTGGAGTTGATGATGCCATTCTCGCTTTTATCGCTAGGTATGTAGACATGAAGAGCTTTGTTGGCGCAAGGCTCAGTCGGCATGTGCCGGTGGAAGACCCCACGTGCAGGTTTCCTGCCGACTCTGCAGCAGCTTGGATACGACGACAGTGAGGTCGCCGAAGCGATGCAAGATGATCCGAGAGGCCTTGTGTTGATTCAGATCTCCAATATAAGAAGATAATGTAAGATCACGTCATAAGACCAACGTCTACACAGAACAGGCACCTGAACTAAAACACATGTACAGCAGCACGGGCATCGACAATTGAGACTCATAAACATCTCTCTCCGGCATTGCATGACAGACATGGGCACACATGTGCAGGCGTCTTGCCGTTTCGAGGCGGCGAGGATGCAGCAGCTTGCCTTCAAAGCAAGTGTTGTCGATTGGTTTCAGAATTTCAGCGACGCAGAGTTGCCACCTATTGTTCAGGCGCTGGCACGGCTGCAGAAGTGGATGTTCGATGATGATCACCTGAAAGACTATTTCGACATCCGGAGACTTTGCAGACATAGACATAGCTGAGCTTGCCCGTTTGTTTGTGGACAGTCTCTGCTTTTGTTGCTGGCCTCTTTTGAACTGCAAAAAGACTCTCCTCTAGGGTTGGAGTCTCGCAGGAAGGCGGATCAAAGTCGTCAATCCCTGAAGCCCGAACCCAAAGCCTCTTTGGGCCTGGACCTCGTGGCATCGAACTTACAGATTTGCAGGATGTTGCATGATGTTGTAGGGGTCCAAAGCTTTCGAGGATTGCAGGGGCACCGGCTAGCCGGTTCCATGCGCTTCTCCGGTTCCACCCCTGTCAACTGTGCGCCTGTTTCAGCTGATCGTTTAGGGTTTAGGGCCGTTTAGGGTTCAGGGTTATGGTTCCCAAACCCTAAACCGTTTGCCATGGGCCTCACTGTGAACGGTTCTCGGAGGCGCCTGAACCGATTGCAGCTAAGACACAGCGAAGTTTCCTCGCCAGGATTCTATGGTATTTAGCGGTAATAGATACTATAATATGAAAGCTTACGCCAGGATTCTATGGTATTTAGCGGTAATAGATACTATAATATGAAAGCTTAATGGAAAGGTCTATGTTCAGGTTTCGGAACCTCATAAGCAGTTTGCACCACTGTGCTTGTGCCGCGGTAGAATCAATAGCGTAGGGCGTAGGTCTTCAACCCTTTATTATCAAAAAATGGATCAGCTGCAGGAACGGAATGCTTGGTGAAGGGTACTCCTCTAAACTCAGCCCGTGGCTGGCTCTTGGCTGCATCTCACCTCGACGGATCTGGTCCGAGGCGGCACGATGCCTCCGAGTAAAGTCAGGGACGCTGATCAGTTGCCTTTGCAGGCCCAGCGCTACGAGACGGAGAGGCGCATCAAAAACAAGTCCACATACTGGCTTCTGGGACGCAGATCAGCTGTCACCTGGCTTGCTTTGACATGATTCTGTTCTCAGGCTCATTTTTGAGCTGACTTGGCGAGACTTCTTCATCTACATGGCGTTGAGTCAAGGAACCTGGGCTTAGGTTTTGACCGTGCCCATACCCTCCGAAGCCCGGAACCTCTCAGAGTTCAGGCACTTTCAATCCATGGTTCTGTCACACCGTATCTGACGAAGTGCGGCACTGTTAATGGAGATTCGCACTTATCGTGCTACAGCCAGCTAACCTGGCTGTCCCCCTGTGAACGGAAGCTCGAGCGCCGGGCAGACACCGAAGATGTCTGATTGAGGAATGCTGGAAGCCACCATCCCAACTCAGGAGACAAGATTTTTGTCCCTGGGGGCGTCACCGGTGACAGGACCGAATCGCTGCTAGCTGCCTTTGAAGCTCCCTTTCAAGGGGAGTCCGCTGAGTCTTTTTCCTGAGGACTCCTTGGCGAGGCTCTCCGGACAAGCTCGAAAGGCGCGAGAGCCGGGCGATTGAAGCGTCGGCCTCCGGCTCGTTTTCTTTTCCCCGAGGTGGAAGGAGGGCAAAACAGGGGACCCTCTTGTCGATGCGAACATGCGGGAGCTCGGCGCCACTGGCTTCATGAGCAATCGAGGGCGGCAGAACGTAGCAGCTGGAAAGAAAAGGGTTTCTGCTCCCTCCTCGGAGTCGAAGCGACGCGAGCGAGCCCTCTTCACAGGCAAGCTTCCTGATCTTCGATTTGGGCGTAGACTGGCGCTATGGCGCTGCACACTTCGAAGAGTATCTCCTAGACTACGACCCCTGCTCCAACTGGGGCAACTGGGTGGCCAGACGGCACGGTGCATGGGGGGCTGGAGCTGTGCAAGATGTGCCGATGTCAACCGAGGTGGCAGCCGCCGGTCTCACAGGGCAGCGAATCAACAAGTTCAACACGAAGAAGCAGCTTTCAGACTATGCTCCTTACCTTGCAAGGATGACTTGTGCTACGCGGAGGCGGGTGGCCACCGAGCCCAGGATCCCCAGCGCGAGTATGTCAACCACTGGCTGCGCGGTGAGCGCAAAGCCGTCCTGCGGCCAGGTCCCAATTCTGAGGACGGCTCGGCCTGTCGGTGTGCAATGTGCGGTAGGGGTTTTTGTGTCCTCTGCCTTCACAGGCTGACAAGGGATATGGCCGCGGCAAGGGAAAGGATCACAGAGATAGAGATGGGGCTGGAGAAGGCGGTGGAAAGCGCGGCGACTGGCTTGAGCTGGTTACACGAGAGACTTCTTCGAATCAAGCAGCTTGCTGACGTTTGTCAGCTGAAACGCAGAGTGCAGCTTGCTTCCCAGGCCGATGGACACGCAGTGAGAAGGGCAAGGGGAAAGGTGCTGGTGGGCAGAAGAGGCGCCGTGAACCTGTTCTTGTAGTACGTTGCAACTCGTGCAAGTTCCCAGGTGTCTCGCACTCTCTTTCTCTCTCGCTCGCTCTCTATTTGTATTTGTTTGTCAATCTGTACGTTCACGTTGTGTCGGTGTATATGCGCGCATGTAGGCGACCTATTTGTAATGGTTTCAATGCATGAAAGGGGGAACCGAGTGACACTGCAGCATCTTCAGAAGCCTGAAGCGTACTGTATTATCGTAAGGAATAGATGTCAAGGAACCTTAACGTTGGTTGGAATGTTGTGCTCTTGACTGATTACTGCTGGCGATTTGTATGCTTTGTATGACGCAAGAATGCACAAGAGCAATGTTAACGTGACCTATAGCCCATCTAGATCCTTGTAAGACATTTGCAAAAACTGGTGTGCGCAAGAAAGAGAACGCAAGGGTGGGCGTAAGGGGTACTTAACGGTCACACCTTGGGTCACATGTGAGTAAATTCTGCAGATGTACCCGTGTGTGCACGCAGAGTCGTAGGCGAGTGCGAAGGCACGGCTCTGCGTGTGCTACAGAAATTACATGTTCGCATACAGATTTAGACGCCCGCATGCACCCATAGGCAAGTTCAGCTTTGTTGGTGAGAGCAATAGTATGATTATGCGACTATGCATTTTCTGGAGCACGTGAGAGGCCGTTGGCAGCATGGAGTGTCAATGGTCACAAGGGCGTAGCTGTACACAGCGTGACTCGTCAATACGGTTATCAGAAGCATTCTGCCGTGATGTGCCTCCCGACTGTTCAAGAAGCAAGGACGCCTCTGAAGCGTATACATAGGGTCATGTGCACATACAACTAAATTAACGAAATGCAATCTGCATATTTGGCCATTTCTCTACTTGTCCATCTATCCGTGCATCTCTTCCTTTCAATCAGTCCAATCTAACCTAAACTAATCTAGTCTAGCCTAGTCTAGCCTAACCTGATCTATCCTAATCTAAACTAATCTAGCCTAACCTAGCTTAACCTAACCTAACGTACACTAAGCTAAACCTAAACCGAACCAAATCTAACCTAACCTCTTAATCTATGCTAGTCTAGTCTAACCTATCTAGTTGTGTAGGCCAATCTGGATATCTAGCTATCTTTCCCTACCTACATATCTATCTATGCATCTTTCTATCTATCTATACCTGCAACCCTATTTACCTATGTACCTACCCACCTACCCACCGACCATGCTATCTAATCTAGTGTAATCGTATACAATCGTATCGAGGCTAATAGATGCTGATCTAATGTAACCTATCCATCCATCCTTCTGTACGTACGCAAGTGATACGCATAAGGTGGTCATCATTTAGAACTGTTTCTTGAAAACCGCTCCAAGCAGCTCCTTGCCGCCAGGTCCTTCTACAGTCAGGAGGATGACCGAATGGAAGACATGGTGCGTGGTGCCTAATTAGTTCTGAGCAGTAGGCGCTGTGAGATTCACAGCAGTTAATGCAACCGCTGTCAAAGCGCGTGGTCCCTTCGGATCAGAAGCTGCCTGTACGATGCTTGTATGCTTGTGCCGCAGCTTGTTCACAAAACAGCAGCCATGAGCAGGATCGGCATGTTGAACATCAGCATGTGGCCAGCCTGGACAGCTTTTCGAGTGATCACCACTCCCAGTTTTCACTTTGAATTTTCATTGTGAGCCTCCGCTGTGCAGAGACCCAACTAATTCGCTGTGTGCATGTCCGGCCTCTTGCAGATTTCGTCCACATGCGATGCATTGTTAGCTCCAGCAAAATCAGCTTTCGTTGAAGCGCTGCCTGCATGTGCAACGGCATGACTTGTCCTCTGACCTTCACTTTTCCTTCGGCCTTCGCGATTCGAGAATTGCTTCATTGGCTTTATTCGGCCTTGAGCAGGAACAACTCTGCACCACAAGCGGTTGCTCGTTGCATGGCTGCGGGGAATGTCGCAATAGAACTCCAGGTGCTCACGGCCCTCGCGCAAGCAAAAGACGAGAACCTGCTGCAAGAGTGCATCCAGGACTGAGCCCGGGAATGGTCAGCATGAATCGAGGCATTGTGGCCGTATGGTTCCCGGCTGCTGCTTCATTCCTGCAGTCATGGCTGTGGTGTGCGAATAAAACGGCTCGTTGTCGATGGGACTTGTCAAGTCGGAACGGTTCCTCGGCAGTTTCGAATTGAATTTGCATGCTATCATGACCTGACCATCCGTCCAGCAGGCCTTTACGGATGTGGCCACAGTTGAGCCCGACTTCTTCAAGGCTGATTGTATGCAACTGCAGATTACTTCGCAGAGGAAGCAGATGGGTTCTAGAACGCCTCTGCGAGGCACAGCTACAGCAGACAATGGAGCCGGCGAAGTTCATGGCGACTGTTGCGCGCACTCGCGAGGCCACTGCGCTTGAAGGTAGGTTGTGCTAGCCATTGATGCATATTACGTGTGAAGTCTTGTCATTCTGCCGTGTTGCGAATACCGTTTCCATCGTTACGGTCATGTTCAGGGTAGTGATGGCGCTGATGGTCATCTTGTTGGTGTTGATGGCGATGATGACGACGGTGATGACAGCTTCGAACATTACGATGCCATGACTTGATGGTGATGGTGGTCATTATGGTGATGATGATCATGATGATGAGGATGCTGCTGCTGATGATGATGATGATGGAATAGCGCTGGTTTGGTCTATGCTTAGGTCGGGCATTCAGGCACAGGCTAGGATTTGCCAAATGAATTATTTTTGTACAAAAAAGCGCTGAAAAAGTGCTTCGCAAAATGCGATGGAATTTGGAGATGTGCAAAAAAAGTGAAAAATGCAAAAAAAAGTGTGGCAAGCTGTACTGGTGGCTGGTGCATGCCTGGGTTGGGAATATAGAAAATGTAGGAAAAAGTGAGAAAAAAGTGAAGAAAAGTGAAGCCAAGAGAGAACAAGAAATTTCCAGTGCTTTTTTTTGCTTTTATTTTGCATTTGCTTTTCCAGGGTACATTTTGCAATCGCATTTTTGGTGCTTTTTTTTCTACATTTATTTCACAATTTAATTAATCCTGGGTTTCATGGGTTCTGCCTGCGGAAGACCGACTTTAAGTCTATGCTGATGCTGGTGATGGTGGTTGCGGCGAAGGTAATGGTGGTGGTGGCGGTGATATGCGGTGGCCAGGTAGCTGGCGACGGCGCTGGTGCCGCTGCTGATGTTGTTGGCTGTTGGTCCTGGTGGTGACGAAGATGATGATGCTGCTGATGATGGCGGTCCTGGCTGTGACATGGTAGACGGAGGGACGGACGGACTGGCAGAGATGCTCACGGAGAGGCGGACAGGCAGGCACTATTGCACCCGGCATGACATGGCACATCGCTGTCATGCACACGGTTTCGGCCCGGAACCATGGTGAGGGGCCATTTTCAGTGCAGTGTCGCCAGTGCTCCATACCCTAGACTAGAGCAGCTGCTGCCCTGCACCCTGCAGGTTTGAGAGTCTGAGCACTCCAACACTCTTCGTGACATGTGTTCAACCCTCTACCCACCCACCCACCCACTTACCCACCCACGCAGCCAGCCGTCCGTTTCATCTGATTCTTCGCTTCATGACTGCGCTTGGACAATTGATTTCTCAAACTCAAGTTTGTATGCCGCATTAAACAACCATAAGTTCGGTAAGTTTTTACATTGGCTTTAAAAATGAATTGTTTTATCAATTCGAAGCCGCCGTGCTCACACGTGATTGAATTGACTATGTTAAAGACGCAACGCCGCAACGCTCGTTTATGTCAGACTCTTGGGGTTCAATGTCCGATGACTTTGAGTTGCATTCACACAAGTCGTTAGGCGTTCAGCTCTCGTTTCACATTATCCAGGCTTGCTCCCGCATGCACACACGCACGCACTCACGGTCTGCGCAGATCGATTCTGGCCTGCGTGGCCTTGCGATAGAGTGGCTCGTCAGCTTCGTGGAGAAGAGGCTGGGGTGTCGTGTGAATCTTGCTTGGTGTCTTTCCAGTGTTAAGGCCTCTCGCACAATTGCAGGTCAAAGTTCCTTAGCAAGTCTGCACCAGACTTTATCAATCTCACACTTGAGTGCTGCCGGAAGCTTCGTTTTTGCTTACCTTGGTGTCGTTGTGTGCTTGGAACATGAACCCGCTCCATGCTTAGGCATGAGCCTCATGCTCGAAGTTGACGAGTCTGAAGACAAGCTGAAGGCTGTCGAGTGTTTCTCTGCTTGGCTTCAGATGTCCTTCAAGTGCTGTCTGCGCGAGCAGACAGATCCGGCACTTGGTATGCTGATATATAAGGCGGTCATTGACTTCTTCCTTTGCGCTTGCCTCCGTTGGATCAAGGAACCTCCAGGTGAATATCATGGAACCCACACGCCACACAGCAGGTCGGTCGTGCAAGGCACAGAACCCACTTCGGCATTTGACTGAATGCAGCTTGGTGTAAACAGCTTGGTGTGCCCCAAGAGTGTAAAGACGAATGGGATGCGCTCAGAGACGTTGGGGCTTTTTTAAAGTGCCTTAGTGCCTGCGGCTTTTGCCATGCTCGAGCGTGGCCCTGAGCTCTCAACCCTCGTGGTGCTCGGTTCTGAAAGCTCTCAGAGGCCCTTGGGGTCGGCGGTGAAGCAACCCGAGGAGGCGCACGAGTCTCGCAAAGCATTCGGCATTGGTCTTCTTTTGTATCAGGCTAACTGGACTCAGCTTCTGGGATAAATTCTTTCAGGATGCCGCTAAGGCTTTAAGCGCTACAGCAGCAAGAACACACGAAAGACCCTGACCACTGTCAACCCCTGCGGGAACGTGATGCCACCCACTCTGGTTCCATGTGCCTTGCAACCCTGCTGTGCACCTGCATGTAAGCCCCAGGGAAGAACGGCTTGGGATGGTTGTTGTGGCATGCAGATCTACTGTAAATGGGCTTCTGTTTCACCTCCTGACGGGCTGATCTTCAGTCTTCTGTCTGCTTCTCAATCTGGCCCTGTCAGCAAGGGGTCTCATACGGAAATGAAGATAATATGGACACTACCCGTTGCCAATGCTGTGGCAAGTCTTGCAGCTATGCTGCAGGTGGAAGACGTGCCTTTAGATGACGACATCGACGTCGCCATAGGCAGCGAATTGCTGCTTTGTTACATTGCCAGCTGAGCAAATGGTCTTCATGTGCCAGTTTCGATGGGTTCACTTTTATGGTGATGTTGCCCTTGACACAGCAGGAGCAAGCAGAGCTACTTCCACGAACCCAGGCTCATTTTGATGATCGCCGATGTATCTCTCACCTACTGTACAAACCGGCGAAGATCTTACATCTGTTTGCAGGTGGCTCCGGTCCGAGTGCAGCGCAGCCGCAAGCAGATCCAGGTCGGGCTGGTTGGTGGACTCGGCAGCAGACATAGCACGCATGCTCAGATGCGCCGAAGTTGGTGATGGCCTCTCGCGGCCTCAGTGGCCTGATCGAGAGCGTAGGCGGGCCGCGGGCTGCTCCTGTTTCCCACTGGAAAGATTACAGAACCACCCGATTCATTCGATTGCCGGTGCTGCACCTTGAAGAAAGAGGTGCCTGCTTTCCTTGCGTGCTTCAGGCGGAATGCAGGTCGAGGAAGAACTGCGAGAAAACACGGTTCTCCTGAACGTGTACCCACTTGCTCTGCACAGAATGATGTTTGCCACGGCGCCGTTTCCACCCGCATATCAATCTGGCGATGAAAGGTACGATGTCAGTGACAGCAGGGGGCCTATCAAGCCATTCATGTGATATCAGTTCCAATGCCGGGAGTGACTAGGTGATGTCTTATGTTGAAACGAACGGCAGCGAATGGAGTTTTAGCAATGAAAGAGAGAAAGTTCGAAACACATCCAAGGTGATGTCATCCAGAGGGTGAATCGCATCCTCACAGTGGATGACAATGTCCTAGCCGGAGGCTGCTAATGTGGCAAGCGTGTCGACTTCGGGCAAAGTGAACACATCGGTCGCTGAGTGGCAAAGTCCAGGGAGTCCATTGCGATGCCTGTAGTTTGCGAGAAGTTCTTCTTGTTACTAGTGGGTGCTGTTGGTTAGCCTCGAGGCACAACTGTCCGTGGAAGCTTTGAGACCGAAACCCTGGGCAGGAGTCTTTCACGCCGGTGTGGAGGCGCAGCAGTCGAAACTTTTTTGGGCAGTTTGTTCGATGAAGGTGTTGTTGACACAAAGTGCTGCGCTAACTCGGTTTGTTTCAAGGTTTATGGCAAGGAATGGTGTTATGGTGCCACAGTGCGCTCGCCTTAGGTTTGCAAATCTGCTGTCTCAGCATCGCAGACACTCAGCCAAGGCCGGGGCGGACTGGTGTGGGGGCAGCGACTCGGCCACACGGAGTTGAAGCTGCGATCCCACCTGCACTGCTGACATCCCTCTGCTTGTGGGACACCGAGGTGAAACCGCGCATGCACCCACAGCACAGGCATTTGCGGGTGGAATTCAATTTCATTGTCGAGCATCTGTAGCGAGATGTTCCATGTCCATGAAGAAGCTGACGCCTTCATCGTGACATACTTCTGTGATCAGGTACCGTGCCACTGTGAATATGGGCCTTGCCAGCATGTTTCCTGCAGTGAAAGGCGGCCCTTTTCGGCAGGGTTCGTGGGATAGCAATGTGATGTCAAGCCGCGGACAAAGCCGGTTCTGACAGTGCAACAATGCATCACAGGGAAACAATTTTCTTCGGGCATCATGCTTGAGTGCTCAAGTGGCCGCTTGCTTCGTGTCTTTAGTTTCCTTGGAGGCTCCGGTTTTCAGAGTGCGTGCAGACCTGTGTGAAGGCCCGGGGTCAACGTCGTAACATGAGGATCCGAAGTGTAGTGCGTCGCTGGCCCCAGCTCCCACATTTGCACAAGGAATGTGTCGGTGGCCTAGATAGATAAGCTGCATGATAAGCTCATCATCACGTACACCGCTTCCGAAAGTTGGTGCCAACCTGCCAGGCCAAACCGAGAAGACGCCACAAGAAGTGAACCATCTTCTTGCAGGCTTATGGTGTGGTATCTGAATTGTGCAGTTTGGGCTCCGTCATCCTGGTTCAACAGGCATGGCAGCACAATGGACCGAAGCTCAGCAGGGCTTCAGTGATTGGGGGCCAGAGGGCCTGTGATGCCCGGTGTCGGACAGGTTTGCCAAGCCGTAGAAGTTTGGCCTGGAGCCTGCAAAGCAACTCGCAGTTTTGCCGGAGGCCTGGTAGCTCGTACGACCTGATCCATCACAACTGCCTCAGCTTCTGCAATGCTCCTCGGCCAATGAGGGATTCTCTGACAAAGTCGGGGTTGAAGCGTGCAGCATCGTAAACGGCACTGTTGATGCGAGGATATTCCTCACGAGTGCACTGTGCTTGCGGCATTGACGACTGTATGCTTTTGAGGTTCTGCTCGGTGAGCTCGGCTTGAGGCGAATCCCCGGTTGGGCGGCGGCCCTTGCCCCCCCGAACCACAGAAGGGATAAACTCGGTGGTTGAACTCAGGTGGATCGAGCGGCTCGGGCAGCAAGCCAGGTGGATAATGTCGTCAAAGCAGTGAGGAGCAAAGACCGCTGATTGAAGCAAGATTGGGTTAGACTTCGCATGTGTTTCTTTGCCTTTGCGTCAATGAGAGTCTCAATGTTATGCTGGTCGAGGAGCATCAGCACCGATGAGGCCGCTTCATCAGATCCATGCAGTTGCTCGAAGTGCGCTGAACATGTGGCGCGATAGCTGTGCTGCACATGTTTGCAGGTAACGGTGCAGGCGGAGGAGAGGCTACAGAGCTTGAGGCCTGCAGATGCCTGTAGATTCAGTGTGGGTCGCTGCCTGTGTGAAGGCGGGAGTCCTTTGCCGCCCTCGAGGCGGCCAAAGACGGGACACAGAAACTCTTCGTGCGGGCCCAGGACATTTGGGGGAAGCCGAAACAGTTTCGAGTGCGTGGCCCCTTCGAGCGAAGCTCTTTCCCAGGAGCAGGCGCAGCAGCCACTGTCCGAGGCTCCCTGCTGCCTGGCTTTGCTTCTGTCTATCGGTAGGACCTTGAAGAAGACCGCGCAGTGCTGGACAGGGCTGTTGTACAGGTGCAAGACCTGGGTGTCAAAGCGAGCGAGCTGGCGGGCAAGGCAACATGCATATGCAACTTGTCTGGCCACCCGAACTGGTCATGATTATTCAGTCGATGCTTCCTGCTCCGGGATGGCGCGTTTCGAAGCAGACTGGAATCTCTGGTGAAACCTCTCCTTGCGGGAGGCACAGGAGCAGCTGCATTCTGTGGGTGCGAGCCTTTGGCAGCTGGAAGCTCGGTGCAGTGTTGGGGATTAATGTAGCCGCTAGGGCGAGAGCCGCCTCGGGGACGGTCGCGGGGCTGGGCAGAGCTTGCCAGAATTTGCCAGGGAAAGGAGTGGGTGGGGAGAGAAACCGACCGAAATGAGCATTCGCAGACTGCACCTCCGTGGGACACACGCCTGGAAGACCGAAAAATGAAGTGACGCGAAGCAAGAAATCGAAAGCAAGAACCCCATGTGTGGTCGGGGCGGCAGGGGGTATTTGGGGGGAGGGCAATGCCATTATGTGGTCCCATCACGGAACCAGAGCAAGACGCCTCAGGCCTTCGGCCTCGGCCGACTAGTTTGGACAGTGCAAAGGAGAGCTTGAAACCTGACTGGGGTCCGACTTCCAAGGTGGGGACAAAATCTCCAGGAGTCTGTCGGCATGTCTGAGGCACCACACGCTACATACACCCCTCCCTGCCAAGGTAGGTCTACGGCGTAGGATCCAGGGGCCGGTTGGACAGGCACCAGCACTCTCCGAGCTGGGCAAGAAAGCGGAGGACAGCCTCCTGGACTGCGTGGAGCATTGCGTGACATTGCATGACATTTCTTATGGGAGGACAATTGGCAGACCCTGTCCGAGAACATTTGGACGTGGGGTCAGTCTGTCACACAGGCGTGAAGGGATGGCTGAAGCACAGCTATATCCCTATAAGCTCATCATATTTGCTCACCCTGTCCGAGTGTGTCTCACCTAGCAGGACCTGAAACAGACCCTGGAGGGGCCGCCGTCTTAAATCAGCGTCGAAGAACTCGAGCGCCTGGTTTCAGCGAAACTTTGGTGGAACAGAGAGCGCTTGAAGACCCAGGCCCGGAGTTGCTCGCAAGCAATCCTCAAAGACAGCTGGGGCCCCACTTCCTGCGGATGTCGTGTGGCAGCTTAGACACGCGCAGTCGGCGTAGCGGCGTTTGTGACCAGGAGACTGCGAGCCAAAAGGAGGACTTGCGCTCCTCCTCGGCCGGACTCATCAAGGCTGAGCGGCGCCTGCGGCGCCCTCGAAGCGGTTTTTGTCTTGGTGGCCTGGAGAGGCCCAGGAGACCAGCCTTTTGAAGCAGGGTCTGCTGGAGGACGAGGAGCTTCAACGGATCGGAAAATGCGAAGTTCTGAGAGTTGAGAGAGCCTTGCATGGCAGGACGGGGATGATGTCAGCTCGCGCGAGGCATGGCAAACGGATGCAAGCAGTGCAGCGACACAGAGGCTGTGATCTAATTTCTTGAAGGCGGAACTAGTGAAGGAGGCAGGGACATGCCACCGTGCGTCACCGTGCCATGCCCGGCGGTTTAGAAACCCCGAGCAATGATCTGGCAGGCCCCCTTGGAGTGGGCGTCAGGGAAGCAATCTGAGAAGGCTTCCACCTCGGTTGACAAAACCCGCGTCTCAGCATGTTGTCCCACGCGATGCACGCGTCAGGGAACGGCCGACTTCAACCCTCCACCCCGTGGGCCTTCCTTGCACGTGTTGTGTGTCTGCGTCTGTGCGCACCCTCACAGTTCGCGTCGTCCTGAATCGAACAGGCAAGACCTCCTTGATATGGGCGTGCTGAGCTCAGAAGCTGAGGTATTCACAGCTTTTCGGGAGAGATGGTGACCTAAGCCCAGTCTCCATGAGGACGGCCCAGCACCAGCGAAGGAGCCACAGGTGCATCCGCTCATCTTGCTCTGGCTCTCGCGCAAAGCTGGCGGATAACTCAAACTGCACCAGGCTGCCGTCAGCTTGCTCGATTGACTGCTCCCATTGAGAGGTATTAGGCGATGGCTCAGCGGGCCCAAGGTTCCGTTCTAAGATGCGCCTTTTAAATCGGGAGCAACTCTGCTCGATCTTCGAGTTTCACCAAAATGGCATCGTAGGAGCCGTAGTGATCAGTTCAAGCCACAGAACTGGCTCACTGGCGAGACACCAGTGCATGTTGCTCCGAGCACCGCTTCTCCACGGACTGCATCTATTTTGCGCAAAGCACTTTCGGGCGCATCCTGTCTGCTGCATCTCCGAAGGAGTGGATAGAGCGCATGGACGACGAAGAGGGAGAGGAGGATGAGGACGACCTCCACATGAGACCGTGCTCTTTCGCGTTTCTTGTACTTAAACCCTTCGCCAGTTTTTGACTCTTGGCGAACCCCCAGCAAGTTCCGATTTTGTCTGCTTGGTGGTGTGGACTCCACGGATGTGTATTGAAACGGGAACTGTTCAGACATGCTGGTCATGTCAGGCTGGAGTCAAGAATGTGGGATCATCCGTTTTTGACGTAAGTGGTTCCCGGCGCGCTCAAGACTGAATCTCCTCGGAGGGCGTCGTGAAAGATGTGGAGGCTTGGAATCATAATTGTTCATGCCCCCTTCAGTTCACGCCAAGTATATAAAGATGTTCATACCTGATCGTTTCCAAGCTGCCGCAAGTCTCTAAGCTCTCGTATGTGTTCCGCCCCACCTTTCGCAAATACCGTGTTGCGGGGTCGCAAAGTGTCGACCGCAAGAAGTAGCCCACAAAATGCAGTGCTTCCAGGCGCCCTCCATCGAAACCTGAGAAGCCCTTCAGAAGCCCGGCAAGCCTTGCTGAGCCTGTCGAAAAAGGACGAGCTCTTCCACACTGGAGAAGAATGCATTGATCGCGTGGCCGAGGCGGGGCTTCTTACCCCCAGGTTCTGTATCCCCCGGGTCGAAGCGCCCCGATTCTAGGCATGCGGTATCGGAAAGCGCATACCTGGTTGGACCCCCTTGGTCTTAGGGTAAGGCATCACCTTATCAAGCTCATGACTCGATCCACAAACACACACGCACACACATATGTATATATATATATACACGTACACACACACACACACGCACCTACGCACTATAAAATGGATAGAAAAGCACATGCATTCATGTACAAACACGTACGTACATCAATATGTATACATAATATATATATATATATGTGTCTGTCTGTCTGTCTGTCTGTCTGTCTGTCTGTCTGTCTGCCTTCCTGCCTGCCTGCCTGCCTGCCTGGCTGGCTGGCTGGCTGGCTGGCTGTCTGTCTGTCTGTCTGTCTGCCTGTCTCTGTCTGCTGTCTATGTATGTATGTATGTATGTATGTATGTATGTATGTATGTATGTATGTGTAAACACGTATACATGTACATGTTTGTATGTGTATATACACATACACATGTATCAACTGTATGTGTTATGGGAAACAGTTGTAAGCAACCAACTTCATGCGTAGATGTTGGTCATGACTTTACTGCCCCGCCCTCGGACTGTATTCTATTCTCCTCGCTGCTCGCAGAAATTCTTTCACTGGAGCTCTCCTGAGTGTAATTTTGTTCAATAATCTGCCCCTTCAAGCGCGATTTTATCGTTTTGTCACAGTAGGTGTTTGCAAGCTCTTCTTCCTTGTGCGATGTCTTGACGCAGCAAACTGCACGTCGCCGATGTAGCCGCTATGGTGTCTTTTTCTCGATTTCCTCGCCATGCCTTAAAATTGTCCATGCTACTGGAGCAATGGAAATGAAGGCGGCCACCATGGAGACCATCGCGAGCGGCCTTTTCAGACTAATCGCACATTTCTCCCAGCAGGCAGGCGATTTGTGAGTTATGTTTGCTGTCGTCTTCGTCGTCCTCGTGAACGGTCATCCTCGCACTCATGCTGGCCTCCCCATCATCATCGTTGTCATCGTCACCGCCACCACCATCATCATTGTTGCCACCATCATCGTCACCATCTTTCTCGCCGTCGTCGCACTCATGAGGAGCATCATCATCATCATCATCATCATCACCATCGTCATCGTCTTTATCATCACCAGTATGATCACCATCATCACCAACATCGCTACTATCCTTGTCGCATGGCCATCGTCCTCGTCGTCATGGTAGTTGTCCGTCGGCGCCACCGTCGTCCTTGCAGTCGTCTCCGTCCTCGCCATGCTCCATCGTTATCGCCGCGACCTGATGCTAGTCGTGTTCAGCCTGGAATAGCCGTAGCAGCCACTAATCGGAGCAGCTGTAGAAAGATCCTTGTTCCAGGATTCGTGGCAAGCGAAGCATGCAGCACTGGCGGCGGTGAAGCAGACGGTGGAGTATGTGGAGGCGAGATGTGGCCTCCGACCACTGTATCTTCGACGGTTTCTAACAGCAGCAACCAACCGTGGTGTTGGTTCTTGCGCCGGCGGTGGGTAAGAGCGATACCATGGTTATCAAGTATCGTCACGAAGGCAATCCTTGTTCTAACATGTTCTAGCATTGCAACATGATCAACCAGTGCGACACCACTAGTCGTCGTTGTTGCTGCAGTTCTACTTGCTGCTGCTGCTGCTGCTGCTGCTGCTTATGCTTCTGCTGGTCATGCCGTGTCATGCCGGTGCTGACTTATGATGGTGCTGATGATGAACGTGTGCGATGCTGGCGTGCTACTGATGTCGATGCTGCTGATGACAGTGCAGGCTTTGATGATGTTGCTGTCGGAAATGATGGTGGTAACGGCGATGCTGATGACGACAATGACGACGACCACGACGACGACGACGACGACGACGACACGTCTGGTGGTGGTGAAGACGTTGGTGTACATGTCATGATCGTGGTAGCCACAAGGTTGGACAATAGGTGTTGTAGATTCGACATAGATGGTTGATGATGTCAGTGCAAACGATCTTGGAGAATCAATGCACAGGCTCGGAGGGAAGTTCTCGTCTGTGCGCACAGGCTTGCGCTTGTGTAGTGTGTATGCTTGCTCGTGCATCATTTCCACTTGAATGCGCAGACTGCAGTTGCTGGCCGGGTTTGTTTGCTTGTTGCTGGATGCTATCCAGCCTATGTTTTGCTGCAAGTTTGTCGTGCCCACGCTCCCCTGTGGCACAGGGTAATTTAGTGCGACGCAGTCATGTCGGATTTAGCATGCTGCAGAGTTGCAGCGTACTCATGTGATAAGCTAGTGCTGTTTGTTGCACTGTTAGTTACGACTACTTGTACACACTACCCATCCTGGACAAAAGGAGGGCTGCTTCAGCACAGTTTTCGTGAACGGATGGCACGCTTCCTCATCATCAATGACCGGGTTAAGACGAGGCTGAGGACAAGAATTGAGAGGGTGGTGGTGCTGGCGGTAGCGAGTTGGACTTGCGATCAGAAGGAACTGAAGCACGAGGACGAGGACAATGATAATCACGATGATGCAGTTTGGAACAAAGACTTACTGTGATTGCTGATGCTGAAGGAGGGTGGTGAGTATGATGCTGGTGATACCACTGTGTATGATTGTGTATGCAAGACGCCCAGTGGTACTACGTGACTACGGCTGCGATCAGTGCCCAAAGAACACTTGGAACTATTTGGGCACGTAACATAACTACAGTCGAGGAAGAGCATGTGGACGAGATGGCCAAGCTTCTGCTCGGACACGTTGATCATCCACATCCAAGGCATCCGTTTAGGGCCAAATTCCAGCTTTGTGCAGCTTGATCGACACTCCACAGCACCTGAATTCAGGGTGCGCTTCACTGCTCTCCATGGCCTGGGTAGAGGGCCCCAGCATAATGTGAGATCGGCACAGCTGCAAACTATGATCAGCCCAGTGCACCGTAACATGAGGACAAGACAACAACACGGTTGCTGTGTAAGCGCCGAAATGAAAGTTGCCTCACCCGCCCAACTGCGACGATTCAACATCTACTTGTCCTACTTTCGAGAGCCTTAGAGAGGCCTGCAGGCTGCGGGCTCTTCAGACACCTGCATTTCTATGATCGATGCATAAGCAATGGGGTACAGTAATGTTTGTTGGGCGATTGGACCGCCCGGTGGAGAATCAGAATCCGCAGCGCTCCTACGCTGCATGGCATCAGGTGGGACCATACATTCCAAGCCCATTCTGAGCACGGCCAGCCATACTCGGCCAAGAGCGCTGGCATCCAACACCGCAGCCGCACTGCGGCCAGGTGCAGCTGTCACCAGCCGCGAGACGGAGAGCAATTGTCTGTGTAGGACAATTCCGCCGAGCAGATTGCCTAGTTTTTATCGTGCTTTCCCGTGGTGCGACTGCTTGCAACTGTGTGGGCCTGTTACTGGTGGGATGCGTCTGTTCAGGTCGCTGCTTTGCGCTTGTTTCTGGCGTTTCGGGTCCGATTTGTTGAAGATAGTTGAAGGCGATCAGAGCCTCCAAGCGATAGGGAATCTGCAGGTGTCTGACTGTGCTCTAATTTAGTCGGATGAGTACTTGGCGACGGGTACAAGCTTTCCTGTCCGTTCATTAGATTAGATATCCTCGTCATCTAGGACCTGGTGTGCCGAGGTCAGCTTGCCAACGACCAGTCCCCGCACTTTCAGGATGATGCTGAGTGCTGGCCAGTCAAGTCTTTCCTGACAAATTTCAGGCGAAACGGTGCATGTATATAGCACGTATAAATCATATGTACACATACACCTGCACGACGGTATCGTTTGCCATGCACCGTGGTAGATACATGCAAGACTTCGCTCACTCGCTGGCTCATTCATTCCTTTATTCATCCATCCATCTATGCACGCACTGTTTCATTTACCCACTCACTTGTTCATGCATTTGTCTTTTTAGCTCAATCTTTCTTTCATTCATTGTTTCTATCATCTGAGGCATGCAGCAGACAGGCAGATGGACATACATACATGCACGACAGAACACTACATAACACAGCACCGCGCAGCATAACACAACGCAGCATATCATAACATTACATATCACATAGTCGTGCAACACATTGCAATGTAACAACG